AAGGGAACTACAAGTTCCAGCACTGTCCCTGTACACCCCCCCATATATTACTAAGGGAACTACAAGTCCCAGCACTGTCTCTGTACACCCCCCCCCCATGTCATCAAGGGAACTACAAGTTCCAGCACTGTCCCTGTACACCCCCCCATATATTACTAAGGGAACTACAAGTCCCAGCACTGTCTCTGTACACCCCCCCCCCATGTCATCAAGGGAACTACAAGTTCCAGCACTGTCCCTGTACACCCCCCCATATATTACTAAGGGAACTACAAGTCCCAGCACTGTCCCTGTACACCCCCCACAAATATTACTAAGGGAACTACAAGCCCTAGCACTGTCCCTGTACACACTCCAAATATCACTAAGGGAACTACAAGTCCCAGCATGCCCTCATTGTCCCTGGAAACCCCTCACATATCTCCAGGGGTGTACAGGTACAATGAGGGCATGCTGAGACTTGTAGTTCCCCGAGTGATAGAAGTTGAAGTCACCTTACCTAACACTGTCACCTCCTGGGAGCTCTGGTCTTCTCACACAGCACACAGCAGAAGCATGGCCGGAGGAAGTTCGGGGGAGGATGCAAAAAAAAAATAACACCCCACTATAGGGCAGTGACGACTGCTCTCTGGCACTGAAAAAACACAGCACAGCCAGTGGCCCCATCGAGGCCGCATTAGCTGCCTGTTACTTGTGTTTGCCAGCTCGGCTCGCTCAAAACTGCTCGGCGGCCGGCAACCCCCTTCCCCCATGCGCCCAGGGCAGCCTCACTGTCGGCTTCCCCGGTTGTTTTGTCACTGACCCCTTTATTCCTTGTACTGGCCGGGCCCCCTGGTGCCCTGGGCCCCATAGCGGCTGCCTGGCTCGCTATGGCGGTAGATCCGCCACTGGGGAAGATTCTTGAAAGTTTGATCAAGGATCACATGCAATTGTTTTTGCTAGAAAATAATGTCCTAAGCGATAGTCAGCACGGATTCACAAAAGACAGAAGTTGTCAGACAAACCTACTTTCTTTTTATGAGGAAGTGAGTAATAAATTGGACAGAGGAATGGCTGTGGATATTGTATACTCGGACATCGCAAAAGGGTTTGACACAGTTCCCCACATGCGGCTAATGTATAAGTTACAGTCAGTAGGTATCGAGTATTCCATCTGTAATTGGATAGAAAACTGGCTCAAAGACCGTATTCAGAGGGTGGTGATCCATGACTCATACTCTGGTCTGAGGTTGTGAGTGGGGTCCCCCAAGGTTCAGTGTTATTAGAGGGGTACCCCAAGTTTAAGTGTTGCTAGTGGTGTCCCCCAAGGTTCAGTGTTATTAGTGATGTCCCCCAAGGTTCAGTGTTATTAGTGATGTCCCCCAAGATTCAGTGTTATTAGTGGTGTCCCCCAAAGTTCAGTGTTATTAGTGGTGTCCCCCAAGGTTCATTGTTATAAGTGGTGTCCCCCCAAGGTTTAGTGTTGCTAGTGGTGTCCCCCAGGGTGCAGTGTTATTAGTGATGTCCCCAAGGTTCAGTGTTGCTAGTGGTGTCCCCCAAGGTTCAGTGTTGGTCCCCTTACTGTTTAATCCGTTTATAAATGACATAGAATTACTACTTCTGTGTTTGCAGATGACACCAAGTTATGTCCCCGGGTTACGAACAAGATAGTAAGGCCTGGAGCTATGGATAGCAGAGGAATGAGTGCAAGGCCTGCATGACAAGGCTGGGAAGGGGAACGAGGATAGGAAAGGGTTAAGGAGTGATAGAAAAGGGTATAGAAAGGTCACTTACGTGATAGGTGGAAGTGGTGGTCCAGGAGGGGCTTCAGGAAGTTAAGCCAGGAAGAAGGAGTCCGGAAGGTCAGTTGGGAGTCCGGCAACAAAGGAAGAACTTGGAGGTATTGTTCCCTGTTCTGTATCCCCTGCCATGTGCATTTTTGAACTGCTGGTGTCCCAGATGAGGGAAGCTGCGGCTTCTCAGGGTGCTGACTGGGTTCAGGCCCAGGTGTCAGCTGCCCTCGGGGGGGTTATTCCTCCAGTTCCTAGGATGTCGGGACGTTACTCGGCGGTCCCGTCCGCCGGAGCGCCTCAGCCCGGAATTGACCCCTCGGGCTCAGCGCCGCAGAGGGAGCCCCAGGAGGGACCCTTCGGGGCCGCCAGCGAAGCGGCCTTCGGCTTCGTCTGGCGGGAGGCCCGGTAGGAATCCCCGTCAGAGGCGGAGCCCGCCGGAGGGGGTCCCGCAGATGGTGGGGGCCTTGTCCCCTTAAGGAGGCGGACAGGGTGCGTTTGGCGGATGCCGCCAAATGTGAAGTGTACGTTTGCTTTGAGGGTCCTTTGGGAGCCCACCTGAAGCTGGAGGTGCGGGAGCGGATTTGGAAGGGGGACTACGTGGAGCTCTTTTCCTTGTTACCGCTGGAGAAGTTTAACCTGGATAGGGTTAAGCCGAACGAGTCCAAGAAAGAGGAGGAAGAAAAGCGTAGGTATCGATTGATCCCGAGGACTTTGAGTAATTAGTTTGCAGGCGTTCGCGATTTTGGCTAGTGTCATTGGGGAGAAGGCGCCGGAGAATTGTTCGGCTTTATTTTGTTATTTGGAAGAGGTGAGTGAGGCGTACCGGGTTTATGGTGGGGTGGCATGGCTTCGCTACGACGAACAATTTCGCCAGCGAAAAGCCGTCCGGCCTGAAATTCGTTGGGCTCACAAGGACATTAGTTTATGGATGCGATTGATGTCGTCACCCCGGGCGGGGGGGTCGTTTTTTCCAGGGGGGGCCGGCGGTGCCTCCGCCTCCGGACAACCAGCCCTTAAGAAAAAAGGAGTGTGCTGGGAGTTTAATGAGGGGTTGTGTAAATTTGGTGGGTCCTGCCGCTTTAAACACGAATGTTCGAGATGTGGAGGTTCCCACCCTCAATCCCGGTGTTTCAAGTCTGGTAAGGGACGTGCCGGGGATGTTACAGATAAAAGGGACGCCGCCGGTGAAGGTGGAAAGGATGCGTCCTTTTCTAGGTAGGTACCCCGATCGGCGGAGGCGGGTTTTCTGGGAAACCTGGTTCTTCTGGAACTTTTCCCGATTGTTTTGGCGGTGGAACTTTGGGGCTCCAGGTTACGAAACCGGCGGGTTTGTTTTCACTTTGACAATCTGGGGGTGGTGATGGCCATCAATAACATTTCGGCTTTGTCGCCTCTGGTGATACGCCTGTTGTCACATTCCGGGTTCCGTTAACCAGTTGGCGGATGCTTTGTCTCGCTTTCAGTGGCAGGAGTTTCGGCGATTGGCACCGGATGCGGAGCGGCACGGGGTGCCTTGTCCCCAGAGCCTGTGGGGGATCACCTTGGAATCATCGCAGGGTTGATCCGGGAGTCGGTGAGTGTGGCAATGTGGACGGCCTACTCGAAGGTTTGGGAGGATTGGTATGCTCTGCAGGAGCGCGTCGGCGTTCCCCGGACGGATGGGGAACATGTATCCTTGGTGCTGTTCTGGATTAGTTGTGGTTTTGTGGATGGGGTGTCAGTGTCAAGGGTGGATCGGCGTTTGGCGGGTTTGGCGTTTCTATTTAAATTGATGGGTTTGCCAGATCATACAAAGCAATTTCTGGTTCGTCAGGCAGTGCAAGGCTATCGTAAGGGGCGTAGGAGGGTTGATGCCCGCAGGCCAGTGTCCTTTTCCCAGTTGCTGTTGCTCAGGGACTGGTTGGCATTGGAGTGCGTATCGGATTACGAGGTGGTTTTGTTCCGGGCGGCCTTTTTGCTTACCTTTTTTGGGGCCTTACGGATTGGCGAAGTGGTGAGCCCTGCGCGGGGCCGGCCCGGTGGTTTGCAGTTGGGGGATGTGTGCCTAGTTGGGGGGTCGGTGGACCTGGTGTTACGCAGGTCAAAAACGGACCAGCAGGGTAAGGGACTGCGGGTGGCGCTGTCGCGCTGTGAGGATGGGCGGTTGTGTCCGGTGCGTGCCCTGGAGGAATTTTTGGCGCGGCGTCCGACTGGAGGGGGGTCTCTGTTTGTGCATGCGGACGGGTCGTCCTTGTCTCGGTTCCAATTTGTGGCGGGTTTTCGAAAATGTTTGACGGCCCTGGGGTTTAATGCGGCTGAGTTCTCTTCACACTCGTTCCGCATCGGGGCTGCTACGGAAGCCACCAGGTGGGGTTTGGGCGAACAGATGGTGATGCGGATTGGAATCCATTAGGTATTGTCTGTATATCAGGCCGCATTGGTGTTTTAATTTTCTGGGGTGTTTTTTCTGTTTGTTCGTGGCTGTTGGTGCAGGGTTTGTATTTTCTCTGTTTCCTGTTTTGTTTTGCAGGTGGACGCCACTGCCTCGTGTGGATTGTGGGGCACTCCTATGTGGTTTGGGGCGCTCGGAGGGCCGCGGTTCCGCCAAATGGTAGGCAGTTGGGTTTTTCTTGGGAGGAGGCCACGGTTCGGTGGCTTGGTGTGCCCGGTTTACAGTGGAGTCGGGTGGTGCCAGAGGTCCATCGTTTTTCTCGTTTGGATAGGCCTCCGGATGTGTTGCTGTTGCATGCAGGGGGTAATGACCTTGGTGGCCGACCGATGCGGGAGTTAATCAGGGACATTAAGTTTGATGTTTTGAGATTACTCTCTTCCTTCCCGGGGATGGTTGTTGTTTGGTCGGACGTGGTGGCCAGGACATCGTGGAGGCTGGCCCGGTCGGTGGACCGGCTGAACCGGGCTCGCATTAAAGTGAACAAGAAGGTGGGGCATTTTGTGTCCTGTAATGGGCGTGTGGTAGTGCGCCATTTGGAGTTGGAAGTGGACACTTGGCAGTATTTGAGGAGGGATGGGGTGCATCTCAATGCAGTGGGCACGGACTTGTGGTGCTTGGGTTTACATTACGGGCTGCAGCAGGCTGTTCGGTTGTGGAGGGGCGCAAATGCGTGAGGTGTCCCGCTTTTGCGCTGTGGCAGTTTGGATTCTTGGAGGCAGTTGTTAGTGGGTACATATCTGGACGGGGGACCCATCCGTGGTATGGGTGTCCTCCAGTAGTCGGACGGTCAGATTGGTATGACCGGTAAATAGGGGACCAACGTGGGTCTGCGGGCAATCTAGATACGTCCCCGAGGCGTTGTATGGCGGCTGGGGGCATTCAGTTACAGGAAAGGTGCCCGCAAATACTGGTCCATTTATAAAGTCCGATTGCCTTCAAGGACCTTGAAACCAAACTAGTTGGTACAGTGTGTTTTGGTTTTTAATACTGTTATTTATAATGTTATTTATAAATATTTATAATAAAAGGCTGCTGTGGCCATTTAAACTCCCGCTGTTGTGTGGCGTAGTTATTGGTAACAGGAAAGGGACCTCTGAGCTACCTGAGTCAAGGTTCTGTAGGTTTGTTCTTAAGTTGAATTTATATGTAAGTTGGTACAGGTAAATTTTTTAAGTGTAACTCCAGCATAGGGAAGGGTTATCCCCTTGTAATGTTTGTTTTGCTGTGTGCCCCTGTTCAGAAGATTTCACCTCACCTTCTGTCCCTGTGACAATTGGATTTGGAAAATGTTGGGTTTAGCTTCAGTAGAGACACTTTTTTCCCATGATCACTCTAATACAGGAGTGAATTTCCCTTCCTATGGGGTAGATTTCCTCTCATTTGTTGTCTCAAAGACAGGTAGTGAGATAAAATGTTTCTCATGAGGATACAGACAGCAGTAAAAACCTCACAGTGACCCGTGAGGAAGAAACGTCTAACAAGAGCCAACTTCCTGTAATGTACGTACAGTACTACGAGCCAGACCCAAAAAGGCAGGCACTCGTCGTCAGCACGAGCGCTGTAGTATTACAACTACCCCTGCTGTACAGTAATAGCCCCGTTTGTAAGTAGGAGTCGTATATATGGATGTTTGTAACTCGGGGACTGCCTGTAGTGGAATACAGTCCTTACCGGATGTCTCCGACCTACAAGCAGATCTGAATGCACTGTGTGATTGGCATCTATTTGGCAAATGAGGTTTAATGTTGATAAATGTAAAGTTCTGCACTTGGGGAGTAAAAACATGCATGCGTCATACACTCTAGAGGGAGTATGTTTGGGGGAGTCAATGATGGAGAAAGATCTGGGTGTTCTGGTAGACCATAGACTCAATGCAATGTCAAGCTGCAGTTTCTAAAGCAAGCAAAATCCTTTCTTGTATTATACGGGGTATAGACTCCAGAGAGATAGACATCATCCTGCCCCTGTACAAAGCATTAGTAAGACCTCATCTGGAACATGCAGTTCAATTTTGGGCACCAATTCACCAAAAAGATTTTGTTGAACTGGAGAAAGTGCAGCGAAGGGCGACTAAACTCATAAGAGGCATGAAGGAGCTCAGCTATGAGGAAAGATTAGCTGACCTGAATGTGTTCTCTCTGGACAGGAGGCGATTGGGGTGGGATATGATCACCATGTATAAATACATAAATGGTCGATACAGTGGCGTAACAACTGGGGGGGGGCAGCCGGTGCGCTGGCCCCGGGTGTAAAGCTAAAGAGGGCGCCGGCCGAAAATGGCACTTTTGGCTAAATGCCGAAAGTGCAATTTTCCTGCCGTTTTGTCGGCGCAGCCGTGATTTCTTTCCTCCCCGCTGGGCGCTGCTCTGTTTCCCAGCGGGGAGGAGAGAAAGTGACAGCCAGCCAAGCGCTGCGGGAGGAGACCGCCGTGAGCGGCCGGTGTCTCTCCTCCCACACCGCTCAGCCACCTATCACAGTCTGGCAGAGCGGTGTGTGGGCGGAGACAGGCCGCGCTGTCACAGGAGGCTGATCTTGCATCCCTGCTCCGCCTCCTGTGACAGCGTGTCAGAGAGGAGAGCAGGCTACATACACTCAGTGATCAGTGATCGCTGAGTGTTTGTAGATAATTGAGGACATGGTATGGTTACTATATCCTCAATTATGAAAGAATGGGAGTGATCTACATCACCTCCTGTTCATTCATAATTGTAGTTATAGCTGGTCTCCTTACTCCCTCTCCTTGCTGCCTCTCCTCGTTCTCTCTCTCTCTATATATTCTCCCCCAAAAAATTGCCATGCGCGGCGCTAGAGTGTTCGGGTTTCACTTGAAGAAAAGGTGGCAAACCCAGCCCTAATGCACCCCACCAGCCACTAATGCAGGGGTAGCCAAACTTCAGCCCTCCAGCTGGGGTGAAAATACAAATGCCACTATGCATAAGCCTCTAGAAGCCATTCCTGTGGCTGGCAAAGTCTTGCAATGCCTGATGGAATTTGTAGTTTCACCACTCCTGGAAGGTCAAAGTTTGCCTGCTCCTGCACTAATGCACTAACCCTAATGCACCCCACTAACCAGCTATTTTCGAGTTATCACCCTATTGTTTCTTTATAATCCTCATTTGCTGAGTCATCTAACCAGGGCCAGGTTCAATGTGTTTCACAGTCCAAATGAACAGCTTCAAGAAACAGTGGAAACAATCTCTATAGATAAACATATTTACAATATTGATCAAAGTTATGACATTGATTGTTGTGAAATTTAAATTTTTCTTATTTGTTTTCTAGATCCCATTATGTTCAGAAGACTAAGTGCTTGCCGGTGCACAAAACTAGTTGTGATGGTTGCGGCAATATTGTGTGTCTTTGCTCTCTATCTTGGACAAAATGGTATCTTAGACCGTTGGCATTGGTTTTATCACAGCTGGACTCTGCTTTCCTTCTCACACAGGATTATTATCTTGAACGCTTCATCTTCCACCATTCACCATCCCATTGCTCCTCCATACCCACACCCATATACGTTTCTAATTAACCAGCCAGAGAAATGCCGGTGGCCGAATCCATTCCTGGTCCTCTTGGTGAATGTTGAAAGCTACGATGGGATATCTAGAAAAACGATACGGGAAACTTGGGGAGATGTAAGTAACTACAAAGATGTCGATATCCTGAGGCTTTTCCTGGTTGGACAACCACCCGTAATGACCAGTGCTGTACAGAGGCTGCTGGAGGAGGAAAGTGCCAAGTATGGTGACATTATACAACAAGACTTTGTGGATACTTATAATAATTTAACTCTTAAAACCCTAATGGGGATGGAGTGGGTTATAAAATTCTGCCCCAATGCAAGCTATGTAATGAAGATAGACAATGACGTGTTTCTCAATGTGGACTACCTCATCCATCATCTTTTACACCCAGAACTTCCAGCTCGACAAAATTATTTGACAGGATTTTTAGTCTCCTATACGGGGCCTATAAGAGAAAAAATGAGCAAATGGTATATACCAGAGGAACTCTACCCAGGAGACACATATCCACCTTACCCTTCTGGCCCCGGTTATGTATTCTCAGGGGATATGGCAAGGAAGATCTATCAGGTGGCACAGGGGATCCGTGTTATTAGCATTGAAGATGCCTTTATAGGAATGTGTTTGTACAGACTGAACATTCCACCCACCAGGTCGCCAAGAAACATGTTTCGTGCACAAAAGATTAATTATAATGCCCGCACGTTTTGTAATGTGGTCATTGTTCACCATTATGAGAAAGACAATTTGCGAAATGTATGGTTGGACTTCTGGGACAAAAAGACACGGATGTGTTGAGTGACAAACCACAAAAACAAGGGTAGAAGAAATGGCTTAAAAGCACATCCTACTAAATCAGACCGGCAGGTTTGCGGATTGGATTTGCTGATCAAATTGTCAGCAATCAGTCTTGAGTATCCTCCTTGGTCTGGACGCTAGGTGGAAACCAATTTGATCTAAGCATCTCTTGATCCAAAGATACTAATGACAGTCAATGGATCCTTGTGAGTAGTAATGGGCTCGGGCATGTTCGCAAGCGCCTCGTGCCGTGCCCGCCGGGAAGCTGTCAGCGCGCAGGGCCAATCACAGGCACTGAGACATTTCCCGATCCCTGCAGCTGCGGACCGGGGACATGTCTCAGTGCCTATGATTGGCCCTGCGCGCTGACAGCTTCCTGGCGGGCTCGGCACGAGGCGATTGCGAACACGCCCGAGCCCATCACTACCTGTGAGTAGTTCATTAAAGGATGAGGTTTTAAGGAGTGCCACGAATGGAGACAAAGCAACTTGTACAGTCAAATATTTTGCTTTATTTTAATTTTAAAAAAGAGTGCAATTGCGTTTCAGAGATCAGAAGAAAGCCCTTTCATCAGGCCTGGAACAACATTTGTTTCGCTGTTTAAACCAGTCATCATGTTGAGACACTCACCACAAACTGCTTCCTACCAGCAAGATGTTTCTGGAACACCTGTGCCCAGACTATGGACAATAAAGCAGAACTCTAGCATATTACAAAAAGTAACCCTTGCAGTGTGGCTACTCCTGCACTGCAAGGGTTAAGTGGTTGTTTTGGTCTTGGGACTGTAATAAAGAGGATATACTCACCCAGGGGCGTAACTAGAAATTACAGGGCCCCATAGCAACATTTTGTAAGGTGCCCTGTGATTTCTAGTTATGCCCACCTGATATCCCAAACAACCCACCTGAGAGTGACCCTGCAGAGCCCACCATATACTCTGCAGGGTCTCAGGTGGACTGGTCAAACCCTCTTACCTGTCAGCCCTGATCGCTCTCCTCCTCCTCCGTCGCCGGGCCCTGCTTCCTCCTTCGCTGCTGATGCCATGCCCTGCCTCCTCCTCTGTCACTGACTCAGCAGGAGCTGTGAGGCCACGTTCACATTGAGCGGTTCGCAAATCGCGCGTTTGTCGCACGATTTGCATTTTGCACGATATCGCGCGAATGCTTGCATTGAGCAAGCTTGAATCGCGGCAAAATCCGCTCCAAAAAGGGTCCTGCTGTAGCGACACACGACCCGCGACAGCAGGACCCATTGCCAAGCATTGGAGCGCGATATCTCGCGGTAAATAGCCGCGATATCGTGGGAATTACCGCGCGATAAATCGCTCAATGTGAACGGGGCCTGAGGAGGAATGCGCCACTGCACAGATCACTGATAGGTTGTTGGTGATCTAACAGCGACATGTTCCTCCTCACAGCTGCCAGTGACAGCCAGCAGCCTGAGATGCCAAAGCGACCCAGGTGGCCCGCACAGCATCAGGAGGATGCCCTGGCTGGGCTCCTCTGTGCCTCGGGCACCATACCAGCTGCCTGGGTCGCTATGGTGATTGTTCTGCCACTGATACTCGATCCTACAGCAGACAGCACTCACCTCTCTTCCACTCCACTCTGGCTGAAATATGTCCCTCAGCATCCTTATGTTAGAGTTACATAGTTAGTCAGGTTGAAAAAAGACACATGTCATATGTCTAATGGAAATAAATAGACCTGCATTAGACATGATGATGAAGACGCAGTTCCATATACCGCCAGAGCCAGGGGGAGAAGAGGCTGCTGCGAGCGGTCTAGCAGCCAGATGGGATTGAGGATCAGGTGAGAATATTTTCTATAATCCAGCCCTTAGACCAAAAACGACCAGTTAACCCTTGCAGTGGAGGGTATCCCCGCTGTAAGGGTTAATTTTTGCACATATTGTAGTTCAGCTTTAAAGTATTCACATATTCTTAACAATCAGTAAAGATCTTTAAAAGAAGTCATCCCTGACCTCTGAAGCTGTGCATTAAAGTTCATAGTAGGCCCCATTCGCACATGATTCTGCGCGGGTGACACTTCTGCGATGACGTTATTGTTAACGGCACCCCAAACTTCTTGCGCATGTAAAAACTTGTGGCAAATGCATGAAAATGTGCAGCCAAAAAAATGTGCAAAGCTCGCAGCTCAAACAGCTGCATGAGCTTCTTTGTCACGCGTACCACAGCCCTTTGAAATGAATGGGCTGCCCTATGCGGACGCACGTCAAGCACTGCGCATATTTACACCAATTGTGAATGGGGTCTTAGAGGCACTGAAATTACAGCTCATCTTCCTTATCTCCTCTGGCAGTAGGGACTGGGCAGTCTGCCAGCCTTCTAATGTAAACAAACAGCAGGTGCTGTAAGCTGGTAGAAAGCAGTTGAAACTATTGTAATGTTTGATGATGATTTACTTCACAGTACATGCTCTGCTGGTGGCCGGGTGCAGTTAGCTGTGTTGGCCAGCAGGTGGCGCTGTGTCCTGGAACAGCCACTGACACTGGAAGCCGTGGCTCAGCATGCAGCTACTCTGGGGGAATCTGAGAGCTGATCCCTTGGGGGACACAAATCCTACACAGGCCTGGGCACGGTGAGCGGTGGTCTTTATCAGAGGGAGGGGGCATTGTTTACCGCAGCCGTGTACCCCACTGTGCCGCCATCTAACAGACTGTGCCCCCGCCTAACAGGACTGTGCCCTCACTCACAGATTAAGATTAGGAGTGTTAGTTGTTTTGTTTTTTTTTAAATTAAGGGTAATAGGTTTTATTTTACTATTATAGATAATAGTCCCATAGTTTACCTCCTCTGATAAGAGTGCTAGGTCTAACTAAGGGCCCATTCATAATAGTACAGTGCGTTCATCGCAATCACACCTACAGGGGTGTGATTTTTTTTTTTAAAACTACTTGTCCAAGGGCTAAAGTGGGGGCCGAATCTACTTGTCCTCCATGACAATCTACTTGTCCCAATACAAAAAAATTGTTTTAATCAAAACTAAGGATGCATCAATACCGGTTTTTCGGTATCGAGTACGAGTACCGATATGTTGCTTTCGGTACTCGCCGATGCTGAATACCAATACCGGTGCTTCCGCTGGCATGGAGCAGTCTTCCTGGGTAATCAGGAAGCCGGGCAGCGGATAATGACATGCCGCTCGGCTTCCTGATTGCCCAGGAAGTCGGCTCCATGTTCTACGGCACTGCCAGTCAGAGGAAATTTTCCTCTGGCCGTAAGTTCCAGTATCAGGGAAGGTACAAGTGCAAGTACTCGCCCAAATACTTGGTATTGGCACTAATACTAGTATCAGTGCATCTCTAATCAAAACGTATTTGACTGTGCTAAATAGTGCTTCTCATTGATCAGAGTGGTCACCTGACCACGCTGACCAATGAGTGCTTGCAATTTGCGACGAAATGCAATATGCATAGGGCAGGGCTGCGCTGGACAGTACACCCGTATTGGCGGAGGGGAGGGACTGTTCGCCCCCTACGGCAGAGGGGTTGGTTTTAATTTTTTTTTAGTTTATTTTTTACTTTATCACTTTTTTTAAATGTATATATTTTATTTTTTACATTTTTATTTTTATTTATTTTTTACTTCTTTTTAACTTAATTTTATTCGTATCACATAGGGGGTTACAAGCCCCTATGAGATAGTTTGGAGGTGACAGGTTCTCTTTATGGAACCTGCCCTCCCAACACAGAACAGAAGTTCTGTGCAGTTCCTGACAGCTGAGACAGGTGGCGCTGTGATTACAACGCCACGGTCTCAGTGATCACACAGAGCAGACAAAGAACGTCCGTTCTTCGTCTGCTCTACACTCTATGGCTGAGCCGTTCTGGTGTGGTCTTGGGTCCCCCAAAAGAGCGGGGGCCCCCCGAAAACCACGGTGGGCGGTGAGGGCGGACACGATCCCCGCTGCTTGTTTGATACTAAAGTACTAAACGAGCGGCGGCTCTCCGCTGTACATTTAGCTCTGCTTGTCCGGAGCAGGGCTAAATGTAAAAAAAAACTACTCGCCCGGCGCCCGAAACTGCATGTCCCGGGCGTCGGGCGATAGGAATTCCACACCCCTGCACCTACCCTGTGTTTTGTTGTAGGAGGTGCGTTGCGGTGCCATTCGTTGGTAGATCTCACTGAGCTGGTCATATAAAAAGTAGATCTTAAGACAAAAAATTGTGGGCGCCTCTGGCCTAGGGGGTGTAAAGCTGGGGGGTACTTACCACATTCCTCACTCCTGAAGGCTTCCTCCCTGCTCTACTACTGGTCCACAAAGCTCCACCTTTTCACTGGTTGAGCAGCTGCCCCTCTCTGACCTCATCATGTACAGTGCAGGACTGACGGACGAGGGCCATCCAACATTGCTGTTGGGGAAGCAAGGAAAACTGTTAGTATTTTACTTCTTTAAACCCCACTCTAGACTAAACATGCATTTGCCCCTTGCTATCCATTGGCACAAACCACTGAAATGTTATGACTGGGGTTCGGCTTTATGAACATGTGCGGACTTTTTTGTTTTTTTCATCAATTAAAGCGGAGTTTTTGAATCTACAAGTTACTTAGGGGTTTATTCTCTAAAGAGCCGAATGCTAGCAACGAAATGGGTATCCCTGAATGTTAGGGGAATAAACAACCCTAGGAAACGCTAACAAATTGTATATCATATGCATAAAGAAAGGGCACAAGTTTTGTTTCTTCACGAGACTCATTTCAAGAATGTAGAAAATCTATGTCTGCAATCTCGATACTACCCTCAGGTGTACACTAGCAATAACCCAGTAGCAAAATCTAAGGGGGTTGCTAAATGTTTTCACTCTACAGTGCCATTCCAGCTTAAACAGATTGTAAGAGATAAGGAGGGCAGATATATTTTCTTAAAGGGTATTTTATATCATAAAATGGTTACAATGGTAAATGTGTATGCCCCTAATCAAAAACAAATTTAATTCATGTTGGCAATGTTGAGAGAGTTGGAAGAGTTTGCAGATGGTGTAATAATATTAGGAGGGGATTTTAATTTTCCATT